TGCCCGCGTCTGTTAGGCCTTAACGTGGATAGCAGTAGGATCAGGAGGAGTAGGATCAGGAGGAAGACGGAGCAGGATGAGGGTGGTGAAGCAGAAGGATGGCGGCGCAGGAGGAGGATGAGGAGGAGCAGGTCCGAGAGATGAGGCGAAGGGGGATGCGGAGAGGAGGAGGCGAGGAACGTATACGGGGCCCTCCTCCTGGCGCTCCTCCCGCAGGGGAGGCTTCTCCTGACCCGCCGTCTGGTCCGAGGAACGTTCCCTCCACCCGCCTCCGCCGGCCGTCCGCCCTCCTCCGCCCTCCCTGCCTGCCTCCTCGCTCCCTCCCTCGGCCCGCCCCCCCCCCCCCTCGGCTCCTGCTGCACCACCGCTCGCTCCCGCTTGTCCCGCCTGCCCGTCTGCGCCTCCTCTCCCCACGAGTGCTGCGTGCGTCTCCTCTCTCTCCCTCGACTCTCCAGGCCTCACCGGCGGGTCGGCGCTTCGCCCCCGTCGATCAGAATGGCGATTTCGCCCATGTGCGGACTACCTTTCGGAATCGGAGTCCTGCTTCATCGTTGCCTCCCCGCTCCGTTCCCCTCCTCCGCCTTCCCATGGTCATCCTGCTCCTCCCGCTCCTTCCCCTCCTGCTCCAGCCGCTGCTGTACCACATCGACCTCGCCTTTCCTCATGATCCTCATCATCCTGCTCATCCTCCTGCTTATCTGCAACCTATTCCACCTCCTCCACCGTACACGGCTCCTAGGTTCTGATTGCGCATAATGCAAATATGTCCTTTTCGGGTGTTCAGGTGCGCTATTACACGCGTTGGCGGATAGAAACAACTTCACCACAATGGAAGGGCATGGGTGGGAGGGGCAAGGTGTCAGAGATGGCGCGAGCAGCTTGACTCCCTCTCTCCATCTCTTTGCTCCCCCTTCCCTCCCTCCCTCCCTCCCTTCTTCTTCCTCCCCGATCACCGCGCGAGTTCCAGCGCGCGCGAGGGAAACGGAGGTGATGATGATGGTGGTGACTATGATGATGCTGCTAGTGATGATACTGAGGAGGAGAAGTATGGCGAGTGAAATGTGGAGAGCGCCACCAATAAGCAACATTCGCAGGAGGGGAAGGATGAAGACACGGATGAGGATGAAGTTGAGGAGGATGAGAGTGTGGAGGGGAGATGGGAAGAACGATGTTGACGCTGCTGCTACTGACGAGGAGCAGGAGGATAGTGATATAGAGGAGGAAGAGAAGAGAGAGAGAGAGAGAGAGATGGAGGGAGCGGAGGGGAGGGAGGGGGGGGAGGGAGGGAGGGAGGAGGGAGGAGAATGACGAGGGAGGGGTGGAGGGAGAAGCACGAAGAGGTGGAACCCCCTTTTTGTTCCTCCTCCTCTTCTTCCTCCTCCTCCTTCTCCTCCGTCAACCTCCTCCTTTCCCCTCGTGTTTCCTCCTCCTCCTCCTCCTCCTCCCACTCCTGGCTCTTTCTCCTCCCCCGAGTTCGCTCCTCGTTTCTCCTCGATCCCCTTCCTCCCTCCTCTCCACTCCTCCTCCCCCTCCCTCCCTCTCTCTTCGCCCCTCCTCCTTCTCCCCTTCCTCCTCCTCCTCCTCCTCCTCCTCCTCCTCCTCCTCTCCTCCTCCTCCTCCTCCTCCTCCTCCTCCTCCTCCTCCTCCTCCTCCTCCTCCTCCACCTTCTTCTTCTGTTCCTCTTCCTCCCTCAGCCTCCCTCCCTCCCTCCCTCCCTTCCTTCCTTCCTCGGCCCAAGGGCACTCGAGTGGGTCCCGACCCCCATCACGCAGGGCCCCGGCTTTGGGCATACTGTCCTGGGGTCCACAGCGGCTGCTGCCACATGTGCCAAGGCTCTTTCCCAAGGCCTGGCCCAGTGGCACTCTCCTCCTCCTCCTCCTCCTCCTCCTCCTCCTCCTCCTCCTCCGCCTGGCTGCGCTCTCTGGTTTCGCTACATTAGCCAATGAACCAGCGGCGCAAGATTTCATGGACGCCGCTGCAACAATTCACAGGGGGTGCAGGGGTGGCGCAAAGGTGGACAGGCGCGAGGCGCGCGCTGTGGTTGGGGCGGCCCGGCACGGTGGAAAAGGAGGAGGAGGAGGAGGAGGAGGAGGAGGAGGAGGAGGAGGAGGAAGAGGAGGGGGACGGGGAGGAAGGAGGGGCGGGGGTCAGGGGTAGTTGCGGGGTTCGTTCTGTGAGTGGTCGCGGAGGCGGTCGTGGTAGTGGTCGTAGTGGTGGTGGCCGTGCCGGCGATGGTCGGGCTGGTGGTGGGTGCGCTAGTGGTGCTCGTGGTGGCGGTCGTGGTGGGCGTCGCGGTGGTCACCAGCGCCTCGGGTTCTGGTAGCGGTCGGCATGGTAGTCGTGGCTGCGGTCGCTGACGTTGGGCGTCGTGGAGGTAATGTTAGCCCCTTGCCTTCCCAAGGCACTGGGGATCATCTCCGTGCTCCCTTGCTGGAAGGTGCGGGAGATGTCGCGCCAGATCCAGCTGAGCTCGGCCGCCCCCCAAACTTGAAGACCATCGGGACGACATCAAAACTTTCCCGACGGAAATGCCGGTCGCGCTTTGCGCCGACTGCTTGGACAACCGCGATACCGTCTTTTTTTGGTGCGGGCGAACCTGCGCGGGCCGCAAGTAGCATGTACGCGGGTCACCTCCCGGTCCACAACACTGGGCCAGCCAAAAAGAGGGCGGTGTGTCTGGATGTCCAGATTCGCCTCCGGTAGCACCCCATTCCAAGGGTTGCTGTGGTCCCAGCCTGGCACCCGTTGTTCCGTCGGTGCAGCATGGCCCGTGGTGTCCTTATGCGTCACAACATGTCAGTCACGTAGCCAATCGTGCCGGTCGGTTCGGGAGCAGCCCACCTCGCGCAACTTGGCGTGGACCCCCTGGGGGGCGAGGGAACTCCGCACAAGTCTCCGACTTGTCGTCGGCCATTGGCAGTGTGAGCCGGCGGGGCAGACTGGCACTCGAAATCGGCGCCTGAGGCTGCCTCAGGCTGCCTCAGGCTTAGTTCGAAGTGGTCATCTGGCTGTAGAGGATCACCTGGTCGCCGCGTTCGAAGGAACGCCCCTGCGCCAACTCCGCCGCGCTCCCGCAGCGCCAGCCGCCCGCCCTCGGAGAGCTCCCGCCGCAGTCGCCCCCTCTTTTCCCGGAAGCTGCCTTGCTCCACGAGCCCTGGAGCTCGGCTTGGGGCTCTTGAAGGCTGCGGGCCCACTCGAGCTCACGTCCAGACACTTCGCCACGTCGTGGAGGTAGGGCGCCCAACTCACCGCGCGAGCTGCTGGCGCCGTCTGGGCCACGGACGGGATGGCGCAATCCCCGTCCGCGAGGCGCACGGTGGCCTGCAGCCTCTGGAGCTTGTCCAGTTGGCCTCCGCGGAGCAAGTGTTCCAGCGCCGAAAAAAAAACACCTCCGAGTCGAAGCGTTCGACCCACTTGACCTGCAGGTTGGCTCGTGGGCGGTGGGTGACGCGCCCTTGCGCGCAGTGCAGAAAAGTGGGGTAGGCCTCGGCAGACAGGAGCCGTCGTGTGACAGCCTGCGCTCGCTGCGCTGCCGCTGCGCCGCCTTCCCCGCGTGCAGTTGGATCCGGTCCTCCTGCTGGTCCAACCACGGCGCCGTGTTGCCCAGGCACTTGAGGGGGTCGACTCTGAGCGCGCGGGCAACTTCTGGGGGGTCGATTTCTCGGTCCGCTGGCCACGCCTGGGTCTTGGTTTGGTTGGCCGCGGGGCCCTGGCTACTGAGGGCGCCCACCAACTGTTTTGCTCCAGCTGCGTACTCCGGGGCCGCGAACACCATGATGTCGTCCGAGTTGGAGAACCCGCTGCACGTGGGCGGCAGCGATCGGAGCCCCTGAGAGACCTCGGCCAGGCAGCCAGCCACTGCAATTGCGAAGGACGGGCGGAGAGCGGACATCCTTGGTCCAGGGCTGCGTTGGCGTCGTTCCAATAGAAGTGCGCCGTGGCGGTCCCCAACCAGCAATGCGCGGTGCAAGCGGGGCCGGGTACCCGGGTCCAAGATTGCTAGGAATATCCGAACAAGTGGTCAGCGTTGGAGCAATCAAGCACTAAAACGACGCCACGTGGGCTGACCTCGGTGACTGTGAACGTGCGCTAATGCATTACTTCGTGCCCGGCCGACTTTCCGACTGTGTACTGGTGCGGCCCACATGCCCGACTCATACCTTTTTTGAACAATGCACCTCGCAAGCTGCCTTGGCCGCCAGCCGTCTCAACACTCCCCCGCCCGCACGGTATCGGTCGCATGCCGCCCCTCACTTTCCGAAAAGCCACCAACCGCTGTCCGACATTGGCTCGGGTTTTTTCTGCGCCCAAGCATCCGTGCAGGAAGAGAACCGTGGCTTTGGCCACTGCGTCGAGCGCTGCGCTATCTGCGAGCAGGAGGGTTCTCCAGTGCTCGAACTTGCGCCCGTTCGGCCCTGGCCCCGACTGCCGCAGGCTTTTGGCCCAGCTCGTTTTCGCGGCTGCCACTGGGTCGTCCATGGTGGCATGGTCTGGAAGGTCCGGGGCCGCGCCTGGATCGGCTGGCGCGCCCACCTGGGAGAGCAGAAGCTGGAACCCCTCATGAGCCCCCGGGCCCGTGGCCAGCGTTGCCCGGCTGCTCGTGCGGACCATGGTCTTGCCTATCCGTGCTCTCCCGCGAACTTTTCCAAGGCCTTCGCATTGGCAGCTGGCGCGGGTGGCCGGCACGCTCGCCGCCGTGTTCCGCCAGTTGCTGTGAGCGCCTCCTTGCAGAGCCCAGTCCAGTCTCTGGCCTCTGCCCTCCGGACTCGGCAGATGAATCTGCTGGCCAAGCCCGCACTGTTTCCCGCCTTCCGGCCGCAGCGTGTCCTCGACGGCCTGAACAGGACCGTCCTGTCAAAGAAGGCGAACAGTGTTTCCGCCCGCTGCTGCGCCGCGGCGTCCGCGTGCTCCCTCCCCTCCCTCCCTCTCCCCTCCGCCACCCGCAAACGCCGAGACCCCTCAGTGCACGCCGCGGCCCCGCGAGGGCTGAGCCGCCCGGCACGTTGAGCGAGTTGTCCAGCATGCCGGCGCCGGGCACCTCGATGAAGCCTCGGAGCCCGAAGCACCCCCCCCCCCCCGGCGAGAAGGAGCGAAGAGGAGGAAGAGGAGTCATGGAGTCATGGAACCCAGGAAGTGACACGGTGCTCTCCCGAAGCAGCTCATCACCCCCGGACTCCGCCAGTATAAACCCAAGGCGCACCAACGATTTTGCAGTAAGCCCTCCCTCCAAGTTTCTCTGTCACAGGTCCCTGCGACATTTATTATGATTGTACTCCATCTCCGCGGATCAACGTGACCGATGCGCCATGAAAACCCGAATTCGTGCCAGAACGCAACACCTGGTCTCAGCCTCATGAATCAACTTACTGTTGCGTCCTGCCAATCCAGACCCGTGCCAGAACGCCATTCCTGGGACTTGAACCATACGTTCCCGTGAGATTGCTTCAACTTGTTAAAAGAATGCGCGCTTTTGAAAACCACCCGCTCTCCATCTTTGAAGCTGTTGCACACTTTTCAAACGAATGTGCGCGGCGATGCAGCGAGAACCACAATTAAAACAACATAGCGCCCTCCATCCGTGAAGCTGTTGCACCTTTTAAGCGTCAGGGTCACAGATGGTCAGGAGGTCGTCTCATGTGAAACGCCTGGCCCGCAGTACTGACATGTCTAGGGGCGCGACAGGGAGGACTCAGTTGTAAGGAGAATGGAGGAGGAGGACCAGTGCGAGCCCAGGACGCATCGACGATGTTGAAATCAATCCTCCCCCAAGCTCCCTCCTCACAGGTCCATATAAGAATCTACGTTCATCGTGGGAATTGCCATATCAGAAGGCAACCGTCTGAGAATCCTCAATCGCGCCAAACCACAATCGCTAGGATGTCAAAGCCGCGGGTGAAGGTGAATGGTGCGCCCTGATATCCCAAAATCTTGTCAGAACATGATTCTGGGGACCTCAGCAGCGCGAATGAACGTGACGGTTGCGCCCTGCCGATTCAGGTCCGTACCAGAACGCAGTACCTGGGACGTCAACCATGCGAAGCCTTGAAGCTGTGGCAAACGTTTTGTCCGAATGTGCGCGGCGCTGAAGCAGGAACCATTTTTGAAAACGACCCGCCTTCCATCCTTAGGTTGCAAACTTTAAAACGATGGTGCGGGGCGCTACGGCGAGAACCACATTTTGAAAACCACCCGCGTTCCACCCCTGAAGCTGTTGTAGACATTTCAAGAACAAATTTGCGCGGCGCTACAGCGAGAGCCACGTTTTGAAAACGAGCCGCCCTCCATCCGTGAAACAATTGTACACTAAACACTTCCAGAGCGTAAGAAGGCGAGGAAATCCCATGCTGGATCGACCGGCCCGCCCGATGGACACGTCTGAGGGTGCGACACGGACTTATTACTTTGAAAGGGCCCTGGGACACACAAATAAATAGACAGAAATAACAGGATCCCCCATATTTCCCCATATTTTCAGGGTTTCCGTCTTCCCCCCCACTTCTCATATATTCCCATATCGTCCTGGAAATCGCCGATTAATTGTGTCTGTGTGTGTTTTTCCCAACCATCCTGTGGTGTTGGGTCCTCGTTTTGAAGAGACAGCGCCCCGCGTCCCACCTCCTCTCCTCCTCTCTCCTCTCCTCCGCCGTCCGCATGCGTCCCGCACACCCATTTCGGCACACCCCTCACACGTTTCGTGGCCCCATAGGGAGCTCCACCGAAGGCCCCATGGCTGCCGTCCGCATGCGTCCCGCACACCCATTTCGGCACACCCCTCACACGTTTCGTGGCCCCACAGGGAGCTCCACCGAAGGCCCCAGTGCTGCCGTCCGCATGCGTCCCGCACACCCATTTCGGCACACCCCTCACACGTTTCGTGGCCCCATAGGGAGCTCCACCGAAGGCCCCATGGCTGCCGTCCGCATGCGTCCCGCACACCCATTTCGGCACACCCCTCACACGTTTCGTGGCCCCACAGGGAGCTCCACCGAAGGCCCCAGTGCTGCCGTCCGCATGCGTCCCGCACACCCATTTCGGCACACCCCTCACACGTTTCGTGGCCCCATAGGGAGCTCCACCGAAGGCCCCATGGCTGCCGTCCGCATGCGTCCCGCACACCCATTTCGGCACACCCCTCACACGTTTCGTGGCCCCATAGGGAGCTCCACCGAAGGCCCCATGGCTGCCGTCCGCATGCGTCCCGCACACCCATTTCGGCACACCCCTCACACGTTTCGTGGCCCCACAGGGAGCTCCACCGAAGGCCCCAGTGCTGCCGTCCGCATGCGTCCCGCACACCCATTTCGGCACACCCCTCACACGTTTCGTGGCCCCATAGGGAGCTCCACCGAAGGCCCCATGGCTGCCGTCCGCATGCGTCCCGCACACCCATTTCGGCACACCCCTCACACGTTTCGTGGCCCCACAGGGAGCTCCACCGAAGGCCCCATGCTGCCGTCCATGCGTCCCGCACACCCATTTCGGCACACCCCTCACACGTTTCGTGGCCCCACAGGGAGCTCCACCGAAGGCCCCATTGCCGTCCGCATGCGTCCCGCACACCCATTTCGGCACACCCCTCACACGTTTCGTGGCCCCATAGGGAGCTCCACCGAAGGCCCATGGCTGCCGTCCGCATGCGTCCCGCACACCCATTTCGGCACACCCCTCACACGTTTCGTGGCCCCACAGGGAGCTCCACCGAAGGCCCCAGTGCTGCCGTCCGCATGCGTCCCGCACACCCATTTCGGCACACCCCTCACACGTTTCGTGGCCCCATAGGGAGCTCCACCGAAGGCCCCATGGCTGCCGTCCGCATGCGTCCCGCACACCCATTTCGGCACACCCCTCACACGTTTCGTGGCCCCACAGGGAGCTCCACCGAAGGCCCCAGTGCTGCCGTCCGCATGCGTCCCGCACACCCATTTCGGCACACCCCTCACACGTTTCGTGGCCCCACAGGGAGCTCCACCGAAGGCCCCAGTGCTGCCGTCCGCATGCGTCCCGCACACCCATTTCGGCACACCCCTCACACGTTTCGTGGCCCCATAGGGAGCTCCACCGAAGGCCCCATGGCTGCCGTCCGCATGCGTCCCGCACACCCATTTCGGCACACCCCTCACACGTTTCGTGGCCCCACAGGGAGCTCCACCGAAGGCCCCAGTGCTGCCGTCCGCATGCGTCCCGCACACCCATTTCGGCACACCCCTCACACGTTTCGTGGCCCCATAGGGAGCTCCACCGAAGGCCCCATGGCTGCCGTCCGCATGCGTCCCGCACACCCATTTCGGCACACCCCTCACACGTTTCGTGGCCCCACAGGGAGCTCCACCGAAGGCCCCAGTGCTGCCGTCCGCATGCGTCCCGCACACCCATTTCGGCACACCCCTCACACGTTTCGTGGCCCCACAGGGAGCTCCACCGAAGGCCCCAGTGCTGCCGTCCGCATGCGTCCCGCACACCCATTTCGGCACACCCCTCACACGTTTCGTGGCCCCATAGGGAGCTCCACCGAAGGCCCCAGTGCTGCCGTCCGCATGCGTCCCGCACACCCATTTCGGCACACCCCTCACACGTTTCGTGGCCCCATAGGGAGCTCCACCGAAGGCCCCATGGCTGCCGTCCGCATGCGTCCCGCACACCCATTTCGGCACACCCCTCACACGTTTCGTGGCCCCATAGGGAGCTCCACCGAAGGCCCCAGTGCTGCCGTCCGCATGCGTCCCGCACACCCATTTCGGCACACCCCTCACACGTTTCGTGGCCCCATAGGGAGCTCCACCGAAGGCCCCATGGCTGCCGTCCGCATGCGTCCCGCACACCCATTTCGGCACACCCCTCACACGTTTCGTGGCCCCACAGGGAGCTCCACCGAAGGCCCCAGTGCTGCCGTCCGCATGCGTCCCGCACACCAGGTGTGTGGCGTGCCGACATGGGCGTCGCGGCGCGCGGGCGCTGCCGTCGGGGTTCCCAGGGAAGCCCCCTGCAGAGGCGACGCTCAGAGTCACGAGTACCGAGAGTCACGCAGACCCAAACTGTTCACAGTCGTATACATACATTTACACTGGGCGTATCCATGCACGCATTCATGCGAATAGAATCAATCGCGCGCAGATTCATTCATAATCAGACTCGCTCGCGATCCGACTCGCACGCGCTCAAGCTTTCATATTCGGACCTATCGTCTTCGTTCGTGTTGTGTACACTGCCACGCATTTCGGCACACCCCTCATACGGCTCGTGGCCCCATAGGGAGCGCCACCGAAGAAGATATTCACAATTGCGGTACTCTCAACTGCATATGGTTGGGTCCTTCGCCAGGCTAATTTCCCCTCGTGATACTTCTAAGGCAAAAGATGGAAGAGATGAGGAGGGAGGTCGGAGGAGCGAAGATCAAGGAGGGGTTGAGGAGGAAGGGGAGCGCAGGGAGAAGCAGGAGGAGACGCAGGAGGATATTCCCTTAATGAGCTCCCCAGGGCCTGGGAGAAGCGCCCACTGGGTCCCACAAGGCCTCCAACAAGCCCGAGGACACCCCTAAGATGCGCTCCGGGAGCCACCAACACTGATTCCTATGGGTGTTTCAATGTCCTCGCTTCCCACGCTCTTCGGTCGAAGATCGGCCCGCTCACGGTTTCCGAGGGCCCAAGCGGGGCCCACTGAGACTGAGAGCCCCAGGAGGGTTTCTAATCGGCCCGGGGCCTCCAGAGGGACACGGCGTAAGAGGGCTCCCAGACGGCCCAAGACGGTCCCGAGAGACCCCACAGACGGCCAAGAGAAGAGTGCCCTAAGACAGCCCAAAGAGAGCCCCTGAGGGACCCGCAAGACTGCCCCACAGGTGCCAAATACAGCCCCACGACGGCCCAAATTCGCCGGCCCAACGGGCCAAGGGCGTGCTAAGATCTCCGGTAACTGGTTAACTGTATTTCTAGTTCGTGCGTGCGGGGCCGCCCCTGGGGGTCCCCGGACGAAAAGTATCCCGGCAAGGTCCTGGCAAAATCCTGGCCAGGTCACGGCCAGGTCCCTGTCAGGTCCCAGCATGCTCCCAAGAGCGCTCCAGGAGCGCTTCAAGTGGCCTCCAAAAGAGCGCAGCATGGTCCGAGACGGTCCAAGAGCGATCCAAGACGCCAGAGATGGCCTCCAGACAGCCCAAAGCGCCTCCAAGAGGGCTCCAAGAGACCTCCCAAGAGGGCCCACAGAGGCAGACGTTCTTGATTTCATATAGTTTTTGAAAGTTTTTGGCGTTCTCGCCTTTTCGGCTCACCCGGGCTGTCAGACTGCAAGAGGCTTCCAGGATCGCCCCAAGACAGCCCCAGAGGCCTCCAAGATAGCCGAGCGGGCCCAGACGGGGGACCCGAACGGACATTTCGAGCTCTAGGCGCAGAGAGGTCCCCAGGAGGGCCCCCCAAGAGGCCATAATAGGCCCCCAAGAGGCCCCCAAAGAAGCTCCCAAGACTCCCAACAGGCCCCCAGGAAGCCCCAAGAAGCCCCCAAGAAACCCCCAAGAGGCTCACCAGAGGCCTCAAACTGCTCCCCAGAGGCTCCCTCCGAAAAGACCTCAAGAAACAGCCATGAGGACGTTGACCCACAACTCATGTACGTCTCGAAACTCTGCTGGAGCTTTCTTGAGCCATCTTGGCACTCTCTGGGGCAGTCTATCGGCTCTCTTCGACAGGGTGCGAGCCACATCTCCAAAGATGTCCTCGAAGACCGTCCTGTCTGCCCTACCGTTCCCCTTGGGCACGAGTACACCACCACGCAGCCACAGTGATGCGAAATGGGCTAGCTGGATGAGCGAAGCGATCAAATGAGCCCCATGAGAACTCCTCGACAAATCGTCACGAGAATGAACACATGTGACAAATCTTCTTGGCGGTGATCGAGGGGTCGCCCCACACAGTGCTCCGCTGACGCACGCGGTGGCAAATTTGCCGCAGGCGGCTAGATTACCCGAAATCCCCAGAGGCAACCAGAGAGGCCTCTGGGCTCAACTTAGCAGAGAGACGCTCAACACCTCAATCTGCCAACCTCGATTGTCAACGGTAGAGAACATATATCAAGTGTACTACGACTTGAACTGCGGCTGGCCTGGGGCTCCTATGGCAATCTGCTGCGCGCTGACCTCAAACCTCTCAAACTCAGCGCATGTTCAACTGGCCAACTCAAACAGGGACCTCACCACAAAATCGCAATGTCTTCAGCAGGAACCGACCGTCCCGGCATTCCTATAGGCCTACCACCATTTTTCAGAACCCCAAGCTGTTCTAAGAACAACAACTGTTCTTGGAAAATAAACCCGAAATGGAAAAACAAAACGGTCAATGCTCTTAGAACATCAACCCAGTGTGTTAAAACAAGACGGTCTCATCCAGACATGTTCAAAGACCATTCTGTGCAGACCACAAGAGGTTCTCAGAACATTCTTTAGTGGGCCTATAGGCGAGCCAGGACGCTTCGCCACTGCTTGAGTGTCTGCCTTGCCCTGGGCGAGGGCAAGGCCGGCGAGGGCAGGGCTGTTGCCACGAAACAACAAAGAGCCCAGGCTCGCGCCGGGAAGCACTGCTGCGATGGCAGGCCCAACCGGCCGCCGCCTCCATCCCCGCACACGGTGGAGGATGATGAGGAAGAGGATGTTGCGGATGACGGTGTTCGCGCTGACGGAGATGATGGGGGCAATGAAGACGATGATGGTGATGGTGGTGCTAATGCTGATGGTGATGACGATTACAATTATGATGATGATGAGGATGACGAGTCTGATGCTAATGATGATGATGATGATGATGATGATGATGATGATGCTGCTGCTGCCGCTAACGATGATGATTAATGATGATGATGACGATGCTGGTGAGGTTTAGCAGCAACCGTTGAACAAGCAAACCAACACACGGGAGTCGCGTATCTGATATCCTTCCACGCTCTCTGCCAACGCCAGCGTGCCTGACGGTCGTCGTCGCTGGTCTCGCAGCACCATCAGGCCTGATGAGCGGTCGAGGGAGAGCAGGGTGACGTCGATGATGATGATGGTGATGATGATGATGATAATGATGCTGGTGATGCTGCTGCTGATGCTGATGATGCTGGTGATGATGATACGGATGAGGAGGATGAGGACGAGGATGATGAGGATGCTCATGCTGATGCTGCTGATGATGCTGATGCTCATGATGGTAATGCTGATGACGACGATGATGATGATGGTGATGATGATGCTGATGATGATGATGGTCATGATGCTGATGATGATGCTGCTTCCGCTGCTGCTGCTGATGATGATGACGAGAAAGAGGGTGATGACTATGAGGATCATGTTCCTGATCATGATGATGACGGCGACGATGACGATGATTACAGTATGCGATGATGCTGATGATGATGAGGATGATGCTGATGATGATGATGATGCTGATGATTGTGGGGACGATGATGATTGTGGTGGTGATGGCGATGGCGTGGATGATGATGCTGCTGATGCTGATGTTGACGTTGATGTTGATGGTGGCGATTATGACGATGATGCTGCTGATAATGATGATGCAGATGGTGGTGGTGATGATGCTGATGACGACGGGTGATGATGGTGGTGATGATGAGGATGATGCGTGATGATGGTGACGAGGCTGGGTCAATGGCTTGGACGGGCCCCGAAACGCACGGCGCCGAGGGCCGGGCCGATGTCGCGGATCTCGCTGCAGACGAGGTTGGCGTAGAGCCCAGTGGTAGGGCAGCTTCGGGGGGGGCAGAGGTCCAGTACTACACTTCTTCCTCCCCCTCAGCCTCCCCCTCCTGCTTCCCTCCTCAACCCCCCGCCCCCATCCTCCTCGTCCCTCCTTCTCCTCCTCTTGCGCACCTCCACAATTACTCTATATGAATACTACCCTCCCTCTTCCCCTGATGACGGTTTGAAAGTGGCCGACCCCCCCCGCGTACTGTTTTTTACACACAGGTTTCCCCGGAGTTGGATTTTCGCCTGCATTTTTTCCAAAATGCTGCTCTCGCTGAGGCGCCGGCCTCATTTTCGGGCCCCGCTCGTTCCGAATCGTGCTCCCGCTGCAGCGCTGGCCTCATTTCCGTGCTTCCGCTCGTTCCGAATCGTGCTCCCGCTGCAGCGCTGGCCTCATTTCCGCGCTTCCGTTCGTTCCGACTCGTGCTTTCGCTGCAGCGCTGGTGTGATTTCCCGTGTTATGCCACGGCATGCAATGCAATGCTAGGTTGATGCTACGCTTTGCGGTGCTCTTCTACGCCATGCCATGCCGTGCTCTACAATGCATCGCGTAGCCTTTCGGGATCATTGCCCTGCTCGACATCCGACTCAGCGAGTAGAGAGGGGATCTGCGCCATGGTAAGGGATGGGAGGGAGGGGTAGGATGTCAGATATGACGCGAGCGCACCTAGCTTGCCGCCCCCTCCTCCCCCTCTCCCCCTCCTCCTCCGACCCCCTCCCCCCATCGTCCTCCGCCCCCCTCTCCCACCTTGTCCTCTCCCTCCGTTTTCCTCGCCCCCTCGAGCCTCGTTTCGTCGTCGTCCTCCTCCTCCTCCGCCTCCTCCTCGCCGTCCTCCTCCTCCTCCTCCAACTTTTCCTCTCCTCCTCCTCGCCTCCTCTCCCTCCTCCTCCTCCTTTCCTCGCATTTCCTCTTTCCTCTCCTCCTCCTCCTCCTTCTCCTCTCCTCCTTCTCCTCCTCCTACTCCCTCAATCTTCTCTCCTCCTCCTCCTCCTCCTCCTCCTCCTCTCCTCCTCCTCCCCCTCCTTCTGCCTCCTCATGCCTTCTCCTCCGCCCCCCTCCCTCTTCTTCGCCTCCTCCCCGCCCTCCCGCCTCCTCCCGCCGCCGCCTCCTCCTTCTTCTTCTCCTCCTCTTCGCCCTCGCCTTCGTCCTCGTTTCCGTCCTCGCCTCTCTTCTTCCTCCTCTTCCTCTTTTTCCTCCTCTCCTTTTTCCTCCCCCGCGGCGGGGCCGCTCACCTAGTCACGAAGCCAGACGGGGCTGTCAGCAGCATGTAAGTGGCCGTGATGTCATTGTCCACCTGGCGAGGCGCGTCGTCTTCGCCGGCGGGCGGCGGCGGCAACAGAGGTGGCGGAAAGGATGTAGAAACGTCCCCAACTTTCAGACGATATCAATTTTCCAATGCGGGCGTATTTTCTCGGTTTCGGCCTCCGTGTGGGGAACTGTGGGGCCGCGTATGCACGAAACACATCGCCGGATGTCCACGGGATGAGGACAGCGCGGGAGGATAATGATAATGGTCAGAGTGCGAGGTCTTGAAGGTAAGCGTTCGCCGAGGGCGCGTGTCAGCGTGTCTTCATATAGGAGTTTTAATTTAAACTCATACCACTCACATTCCAGGAGCGTGAATTTGAGCGATGCTGGAGCAAACATGGAAGAAACATGGAGCAGTGATGGGGCAATCGTAATTACATGATTGAGCAGCAATATATGCAATCATAATGAATACTGGAACACTGGTGGAACAAGAAGGGAGTGATCATGGAGCATCATGGAACAAGAAAGGAGCAACCGTGGCACAATAATGGAGCAATAGTGGAGCAATCGTGGGTCAAAACTGGAATCAATGCGGAACAACTGTGGAACTATGGTGGAGCGCCACAGCCCCAAGAATGGAACAATGAGAAAGACAAGAGAAATGACGCGGTAAGGAAACTCAGTACCTAAACAACAAAACACGCGATTTTAACTCCATGGGAACACACATAGCAATGATGAAACTGACACGTGTTCTGGTACTGGAAGCGCTGGTGTACCAGTGCTCAAAGCGCTGGTGTACCAGTGCTCAAGACTAGGGCAAACCTAGAGCAATGATTGCGAGACTGACGCAAACCTGGAGCAAACATGGGACAGTAATGGAGCATGAATGGAGCAACGATGAAGCAATATTGTGGCAAGGGTGGAACAACCACGGAGCAGTAATGGAACAAGTGCAGAGCGATAATGGAGCAAGAGAGAAGCAATAATGAACCACAAATGAAGCAATGATTTGCTTACGATTGGAAATTAATTGAATAACGCTGGAGGACGACTGGAACAATTCTGGAAGAAGAATGAAGCAATGATGGAGCTCGACTGACATTCGACTGGGTTGAGCTTGGACTCTCAATGCAAGATGAACGGGGCGTGCGCAAATGGTGCAGCTTAATGAAGCCCGAGGAAGAATAATGCATCAAGGGTGTAACAACGATTTGATAATGGAGTCAATGGTGTAAGAACGCGTCAGAATGGAACAAACAGAGACAAAACCGCCCGACTCACCATCCATCTGTTTTGGTCGTACTGGCCTATGCGACGACGCCTCCCGGATGGTGCCTGCCACGAACTCGCAAGATACGACCCCCGAGAATGACAACCATTGCTCTGCGAAAATAGGTTTCGCATGACACGGAATAGATACCCGTCGGAGGCGGCGTTCGTGCGTCACGGAGTACCCCTTGGGGACGGCGTTCGCAGGGCACGGCATACCCTGTGGAGGCGGCGTCACGAAGACGAACGCCCCCCCCCCCACCCACGATCCCCCCCCCACGATCCGCGTTGGCCCTGCTGCAATTGCCGCTTGGGTGTGCTGGCCTACCCGGCCAGAGGCGCAGCCATAGGCCCGGCCGCCCCGGCGGCCTCCGCGACGCCAGCGCTTCGAGCGTGCTGGACGCGCACCCCGCGCAGCGAACACTGTGCCCAAGAGGCCCCCCCGGGAGAGCGCCGCAAGAGGCTCGAGGAGGCTCCCGGGAGCGCTCCGAGACCCTTCCGCAGGCGGGAGGAGACGAGGAGGGATTGCCAGGAGCTGCTCGCGAGCTCTGCGAAATTTCCCCCCTCGTCTCTTTCTCCCGCCCTCCTTTCCTCTCCCGTGGGGCTCGCTTCGCGGGGCGAGCGTTCACGACGCGCGACGTCAGGGAGCCGCAAAAGGACGTACGCGTCGAAATACTTACATGAATAAGTACCCCGCGAGCGGGCCGTGCATGACAAGGGAAAGACGATCGGATAATTCAACATTGCGTTGTTGTGACTGCCATCCTCCACCAAGCCTCCTACTCGAGCTATCCTCTTCCATTTTCTCCCCCCTCCTCCTAATACTCCTCTGCTGCCTCCTGCTTATCTCCGCTTTTCCCCGCAGTCTTGAAGCCATGCGGGGTCCTCTCTGGCCTGTTCTGTTCCCCTTGTCCTCAACGCGGAATGTTCGTATGCTGTATGTGCAACCTGTGTGGCACAAACGATGCGGTGGATGCTGCCTATCTCCAGAGTCAAGGCATTGTATACGTCCTCTTGTAGCTCAAGTGGGGCTGCCCAAGGGACTCCTGGGTCGTCTTTGGGGCCAGAGGAGAGCCGCAAGAGGCCCCACTAGGGCCTAAGAGGGCCCATACGAGGGCCCCAGCCATATCATACCACGGACTCTTGGTATGATCTTGCTGGTGGCCCTTTTGGGACCCTCTTGGGCACTATTTTGGGTCCCTCTCGAAGCTCTCTTGAGGCTGTCTCGGGCCCTCTCGGGTAATCTTTGGGGCCAGCGTAATGTCTCCGAAAAGCTCCCGAAGCGGTCCCCGACGATAACATACCAGGGGCTCTTGGTATGATCTCGTTGTGGGCCATTGCGGGCCCGTCTTAAGCGCCCTGTTGAACATTGTTTGGAGATCTCTTAGGGTCGTCCGGGGTTCTCCCACGCCGCTTTTTTGGGGCCAGAAGAGAGCGCCAAGAAGGCCCACCAAAGCAGAACACGGCTCCCAAGAGGTCCCCCAGCGACATCATACCAGGCGATCTTGGTACGATAATATAGTCTGCGGCCTTCTGGGGGTCCCCACAAGAACCTGTCTGGCCCCTCTTGGAGCTCTCTTGGGCATATCCAGGGCCCCACGGGGCCGTCTTTGGGGCAGGAATGAAGTCCCAAGAAGGCCCAAAGGGCTTCGAGAGGGCCCTCGAAGCGGCCCCAAACGACTGGCTTTTGGTATGACATCGTTTGGGGTTCCTTTTTGGCCCCTCTTGGGAACTCCTTTCGGCCCCACTTGGAGCTGTTATGGGGCTGCCCAGGGCCCTCTGACGCCGTCTTTGGGCTCGGGCGTCTCCTGGGCGAACGTGAAAGAAATCGTCAGCTCGCTGGCCCGCTGGTCACCGATTCCCCCGGCGGCGGACTCGTGTCCATAGCCAGGGGGCAACCGCGGTGTGTGCATGAACTTCTTCGGGCCTGCCGCCACGCTGACCTGGTAGCTGGCGAGGCAGCCTGGTGCCCAGTGCACCCCCGGACCTGCCCATGGGGCTGCGCTCTGGCCAGACGGTCGTCGAGGCGAGCCCGTGTGTGGCCACGCCCGCACCGCGCGCGATCGGAGGCCCGGCGAAGGGGGCAGGACCGTCCGCAGGCCGGGCTCCTCGACCACCCCTCCTCCCCGAGGAAAGGAGCCCCGAGAGCCAGGACTGCCTCGACCACCCCCCCTCCCCGAGGAAAGGAGCCCCGAGGGCCAGGGCTGCCTCGAAGATCAGCGACAACCAGCCCTGATGGCTGGCGATGCTGGGGTACATCATGGCCACGGGCAGGTTCTGCGCGGCGGGGGCAGCTACACACTTCCACGTGGCAGGATTGGGGGGCGGGGCTCTGGCAGGGAGAGAGCGCCCGATCGCGCCACCCCCCCTTCGGCGCCAAGATCAGCAAGCTTCTCTCCTCCTCTGCTGCTCCTCCCCCACTCCTTCGGTCCCACCATCCTTCTCCTCCGCACTCCGCCTCCCCTCTCCTCCCTCTGACGTTTAAATGTGGCCCTTCCGCTTCTCCTCTCCTCCTCGCCCTGCGAACGCGCACGGGGGCCACATGCCCGGCTACGCCGTGCCCGGGGTGCCCTGGCATTGACCACCAGGGGGGGCAACCCTTACTGCCACGGGCCTCCGCCAAGCGCCCGCCGGCTTGCTTCTCGGGACCCCCCCGACCCGTCGACGGTGAGGTCCCTGCAGGAACTGGACATGCCAGCGCTCAGGAACGCAACCGCCTCGGGAGAGCAGCAAAAGTGCAGCGATGCCAACCGCCGCCGAGGGCCGCCGAAGGGCCGCCGAGGGGCCGCAGAGCGCCGCTGAAGGCTCCCTCCTCCCTGAGATGCCCATGTTGCGACAACCTGGGCGCTAGGACCTGTGCCTTCCGAGACCTTCGCGCGGCAGGCGTCGCCGCGGCCGCCAGCGGCCGCCGTCGGCTGCTTCGCGCGCAGCGTGAACACGGTGCGAGGGAGCGGAAGTCGAGGAGGAGGAGGAGGAGGAGGAGGAGGAGGAGGCGGAGGAGGAGGAGGAGGAGGAGGAGGAGGAGGAGAAGAAGAGGAGGACGAGGAGGAGGAGGAGGAGGAGGCGGAGGAGGAGGAGGATGAGAGGGAGGAGGAGGAGGAGGAGGAGGAGGAGGAGGAGGAGGAGGAGGAGGAGGAGGAGGAGGAGGAGGAGGAGGAGGAGGAGGAGTATGAGTATGAGTATGAGTATGACCATGTGACAAAGTCAACTGTGCCAACCTTACGTGACGAATTACACATGAAGGCATGACTATACACGACCACGGCTCTGCCTCTCACGTGCATTTAAAACCTTAGGCCATAGACCACGCGAAATCCGATCGAGATATACAGCTCGATGAGTGGTGACACGCTTGGTACAGGCCTTGCCAAGTTCACGTAGGACCTCGGAGGCAAACGAACCGCATAACTTACAATACCAGGGCTTAAGATGTGTATGATACTGCATGGCATGAGATTGATCCACCCACCCCCCCGCTATGTGCAGACGAGCCTGGGGGGGCTTATAAAGGATGGACCCATTATAGTTGACGGGCTGGAAGCATTCTGACTGGCGCCACTTGGTTGCAGCAGCCCTGCTGGCCGAGCCTCCACAACAAGTGCACCTCCTCCCACTTTCACGAGAGCGTGAGAGGTAGAGAAGGGGGAGAGGGCAGCAGCAGAGGGAGGACGGGGGACGGAGGAGGATGATGCTTTTTCCTGAGCGAGGAAGAGGAGGAGGAGGCGGAGGAGGAGGAGGGGGAGGGGGAGGAGGAGGAGGAGGAGGAGGAGGAGGAGGAGGAGGAGGAGGAGGAGGAGGAGGTGGAGGTGGAGGAGGAGGAGGAGGAGGAGGAGAGGGAGAAGGAGGCGGAGTGGGAGGGGGAGGAGGAGGAAGAGGAGGAGCAGGAGGTGGAGGAGGAGAAGGAGGAGGAGAGGAAGAGGAGGAGGAGGACAAGTGAAACTCAAGAGTCATCAACGATGTTGGAATTAACATTTCCTCCAAGCTCCCTCTTCATAGGCCCCTACAACGGTTCATTCCCATTGAGGGAACTGCCTCGTTGGAAGACAACAGTTTGAAGATCCTGAAGCGTACCAAAACATGGTTCTCGGGATTTCAATGCCACGTGTCAACCTGGCTGCTGCGTCTTGACGATCCAGAATCGTGCCAGAACGTCATTTTTGGGACTTCAACACCGCGAATCCACATAACTGTTGCGCCCGCATAATCCTGATTCCTTCCAAAACACCATTTCTGGAACGCTGATCATGGGAATCTGTGGAACTCTGGCAAGATTAAAAGAAACGAATGTGCGCGGCGCTAAGGCGAGAGCCACATGTTGAAAAGGAGCCGCCCTCAATCCGTTAAACTCTTGCAAGGCTTAAAAACGAATGTGCGCGGCGCCAAGGCGAGAACAACATTTTGAAAACGACCCGCCCTCAATCCGTGAACCTCTTGCAATTTTTAAGAAAGAATGTTCGTGGCGCTAATGCGAGAGCCACATGTTGAAAACGACCTGCCCTCAATCCGTGAAGCTCTTGCAAATTTCAAAAACGAATGTGCGCGGCGCGGAAGCGAGAGCCGCATTTTGAAAACCACCCGCCCTCAATCCGTGAAACTCGTGCAAGGTTTAAAAACGAATGTGCGCGGCGCTAAAGCGAGAACCACATTTTGAAAACCACCCACCCTCAATCCGTGGAACTTATGCAAATTCCCCAATCAGCGCTTGCACTGAAGGGGTCCTCGCGGAAGTTGAAGGACTCGGCGCCGATTTTGGTCGCACGCTGGGTTCCCAGGTTCCCGGTTCCGGGTTTCTGAGTTCCCGGTTCCGGGTTCCCGGGTTCCCGGCTTCCGGGCCGATTTCGGAGGGCGGCGAGGTTCCCGGGTCCCCGGGTTCCTGGTCGATCTTCTTATCGATCGGTCTCACCATCGATCTCATTACCCACTTCTCTATCGATCTCACCATCGATCTCACAATCGATCTCACGATCGATCTCACAAGCGATCTCACAAGAGATCGCATGAGCGATCTCGCAATCGATCTCATTGAATCGATTTCACTCTCGGTCTCACGATCGACATTCCAATCGTCCTCGCGATCAATTCCACTATCGATCTCATTATCGATCTCACAATGGATCTCAAAATCCATACTATTAATGTTCAATTCATCCACTGATTGGGGTTTTCCCCAAGTGTTTTTTTCAAAATAATATGCGCGCGGCGCTAAGGCGAGAACCACATTTTGAAAACCACCCGCCCTCCATATGTGAAACTGTTCACTTTTTAAGCTTCAGAGTCATAAGTGGTGGGGAAGTCTCAGGAGAAACGCCCGGCCCACCCTAAACACTGGCCTCCGGGTGCAACAGGGAGGGGTTATCCATAAGGAGAAAGAATGCAAGGGCAGGAGGAGGCGGAGGAGGAAGATGGGGAGGAGAGGAGGAAGAGGAGGAGGAGGAGGAGGAGGAAGAGGAGGAGGAGGAGGAGGAAGAGGAGGAGGAGGAGGAGCAGGAGGAGGAGAAGGAGGAGGGGGAGGAGGAGAGGGGAGGAGGAGGAGGAGGAAGAGGAGGGAGGAGGGAGAGGAGGAGGAGGAGGAGGAGGAGGAGGAGGAGGAGAAGGAGGAGAAAAAAAAAAAGAGAGGAGAGAGGAAGGAGAGCGAGAGGAGAGGGAGGAGGAGGAGGAGGAGGAGGAGGAGGAGGAGGAGGAGGAGGAGGAGGGGGAGGAGGAGGAGGAGGAGGAGGAGGAGGAGGCGGAGGAGGAGGGTCAAAGAGCTTCGGGCCCTTTTTCGCGATCCTGAAGGTAGGGGGCCATACAAGACTGGACTCCTTCGGCAGTGGGTGAATCTTCCTATGCGAGAGGGGGGCCTTTCCGACGTCACTGGCGTGGTGGTGGTGAGCTTTGGCATTCGCTTCTGTCTTATCTTGGAAGAGTGCCGTTGGTTTGTGTCCCTGGAGGCCCTGCTGTTTCGACCCTGGATCGCTTTGAATAATTTCTGGGATCTTGGGAGAATATTAAGCATTCTGAAGAGCGGTATGTGTCTCGGGAGGCTTGGTATGAGTGGTACTCAGAATCTGTCAAGGACCACTGCAAGAACGCCCGCCTTCCTTCGGTCTGGTATCCCCTCTTTGAAGAAGTTGCTGATGTGGATGGGACCATGGATTCGTCTCTCCCTGCTCGCTTAGAAGCATACTGTATGTTGTGGAAGGAAGCGTGGGCTGCGAGAGATTGCAATTCTGCTAGAGCTGCTCTTGCCTCTCCTTATCGTGTTCATGTGCCGCTTGCTGTGGATCCCGAGAGACTGCGTGCTATCAGTGCCAAATTCAACCGTAACGCCTGTGCTCCTGATGGGTTTCATCCTCGTCAAGTGTCCCTGCTCTCTGTGGACGGGCTTAGTGTCTTATCCAGGCTTTGCTCTTATGGACCTCTGTGGGCAAGCCCCTTTAGATATGCAGGAGCTCACCGATTTCCTCAGGAGACAGCCCAACAATAATCGGAAGCCCACTGGACACTATAATGGGTTTGCTAGGCTCCATGGGAAGACCCACAGAGACCCCTGTAGGGCTTGGGAGGCTAATCGTGGTCTTGGGCCAGAGTTCTCCATGGGGCAAGGACGGAGTGCTCTTGATACTGTGGCGTCAAGGTGTACATGCCGAGCATTGTGCTGGTGATCGTGTTCATTAAGCCACACTGCTATGAGATCTCTTGACGTTCTATGAACACGTCCAGCAGCATCTTCTAATATATCAGGCTGAGCTGTCCTGCGTTCCGCTCTTCGTTCTGGCCTGTACCACTCACACCTATCCGTGGAATAGGGGTCTTCTTGTAGATGGCGCGTTCCCAGGTCCCATGTATCCTTGGCAATGTATTGTTGACGTCTGGCGCTTACGAGGCCAAAGCTTTCCTACTTCCTTCTGTTCAAGAAGGCAGTGCGCATCCAGGGACCTCTCCGAGTTTGCAGGTGGACGATCTCTTTATGCATTTTTGGAACCAGTCGATGGGCGTTTGCGTGAGCCAGTTGCAGGACCTGGCGGTGTTCATGACCAGGAAGATACCTGGGACGCTTCAAGCCCTTGTGACAATGAAGAAAATTCAGGTGGTAGGCAATACTACGGATCTTGTCTAGTCGGTGCAAGTTGTGCTCCGAGGACTCGCTGGGACTCCTGAGTGGGATCCAGGTAACTTGGGTTTCCCTTTCTCTGCTGGCAAGCACCAACTGCAACATTTTGCCAAAGGGGTTCGGAAAACGTGCATACGGACCTTCAGGCATCGACTGGCCAACTTGTGCCCCCTCAACGTCCCATGGAAGTTCAAGGCTAGGTTCTTGAAAGAAGGTGTCTTATCGACTGTTTCGTATCAGGTGGACGTCCAAGGGGTTACCCCGAATGGAATTATTACCCTGCGGCGTGCTGAAGCCAGGACCTTGGGTATCAGCAAGCGTGGGTGCAACCTGGACTTTAGTTCATGCGGACCTTCAAGCATCGACTGACCAACTTGTGCCCCCTCAACGTCCCACGGAAGTTCAAGGCTAGGTTCTTCAAAGGATGTCTTATCTACTGTTTCGTATGAGGTGGACGTCCAAGGGGGTACCCCGAATGCAATTCTTACCCTGAGGCGTGCTGAAGCCAAGACCTTGGGTATCAACAAGCGTGGGTGCAACCTGGACCTTATGTGAGCCCTGTCAAGGAATCACGGGAATTCTCGTCGGCTAGCGTCTGGACCCCTTATACGGTGTGCTTGGGGATGGTGGCATTCTTCTGAACCTGGGCCTCATGAACTGCCCCGTAACCGAGATTGTCTGTCTCCAGGAGTTCTGAGTAGGGCCTTCCATGCTGCCGAGTAAGATTTTCGAGGGTCCAGTGGGAAGCCGTGGCTCTACAGGATCAAGGGCCCCATCTCGGCCATGCTTCTGTGGTTGTAGAGGGCGGGGTGGACGTTGGAGGGGCCTGCTACGTTCGTCGGTCCCCGCCAGAGAAGGTGGGTGCTCACCGAGTCGCCACCAGTGCAGGTGGCCGAAACCTCCACCTTTGATCTAGTGTTTTAAGCAAGAGGCTAAGTTTGTTGAACCCCTCAGAGTCTCTACAAACATGTTTGAGAAGGGGTTATGGCTCTCGCTCATGATTCGGGTGGCGAAGTCTCTTTCTCCTAGGCTTGAATAAACACGTATATATAGGCAAGTTGTTTGTGGTTCGTACCCTAGCGACGATCAGCTCCTGCAGTGGGGCTATGCAGTCGAAGAAGTGCCCGCTGTGTGGTGAGGATGATTCTATTTGGCACCATGCCTGGCTCTGCGAGCATGAACCCCACGTGCCGCTAGACAGGAGCACATTGGTGACCTTGCTTTGGCTCACTTCCTTGAGGTGGGGCCCTCTTCTATCCTCCTCACTCGGCTCCTCCTCGAGCCCCTCGGGCTCCCGACTCCCGCTGAAGAACGGGACCTCCGGTTCTTTGATGGCGAGGGTCAACGTACTGACCCTTTCTTCTTTTCACATGGCGATATTATGTTTACTGATGGCCCGTGCTATCATGGTGATTTCCCGGACGCCTAAACCCTATTGTCGTCGATTGCCAGTCTCTCTTTGCAGGTGTTCGGAATCCTCCTAAGGCTCTGGGCGGCCCCTCCAAGTTTAGCGCTTGTTTTCAGGAGGGAGTTGAATAGGAGGATCGGCGAATCTCCCTGGGTCTCCCCGCTCAAAGTCGAGGCCCACCAGGAACTCTCGGACGGTATGGGTGGTTCCTCGAGGGCTCTCGCTGCTGGACCCAGGGCCGTGGATTGGTGGGCTCAGCAGGGGGCCCGTCTCCATGATCTGTCGGAGGAGAAGCCTGGTAACTCTGCGAGGGCTCAGGATGAGTACCCCTCTCTGTGTATGTAGGGGTGTGCTCTGTCCTGGACTGTTTTCCGTCCGCCGGACAGATGTGTGGTGAGCTTCGGAGGCCTCCGCGGGCCCCGCGGGCCAAACCTCCCAGGAGCCTTCATATCCTTGTCTTGCATGGGAACGTCCACATGCGCATCCTTGTCTTGCATATCCTTCATGTTCGTGTCTTGCCTTGCACATTCCTGTCCTTGCGTATCCTCGAGCAGCCCTCATATGCTTGTCCTGCATAGCCTTGTCCTTGCCTTGTACCAGGCGTCTTAGGGCCGTGGGCCCCGAGTCTGCCTCCACCCGTGAAGATTCGAATCCCAAGCTTGCCACCCTCCTTCCAGGGAGGGGCGGGGGAGCACCAGGAGCTTCAGTGGGCTCGGGCGGTGGACTCTGATCGGCCTGCTATGTTCTGCGTCTCATGTGGTGGGTCTGCCTCGTGCAGGGGCGGTGGCAAACGAATTCAGAGGTGCTCTCACCCCAAGAACAGCTCGGAGCGATCGAAGCTCCTCAGGGGCTTTGTGCCGGGGACCTGTTCCAGAGCCGGCCAGTCCTTCCCTCTCTCGTCTCTTCCCCCGTTTCCCCTTCCGCCCCCTGCGCCCCTTCCTGCCTCCCCTGGGACTGGGCCGTCTCTGTGAATCGTCCCCCTTTCCTTGTGTAGTGGCACGCTGATTGCTCAAAGAGTGACAGGCGTGCGCGATTCGCTGAGTCGCTGAGTCGCTGAGGAGGAGGAGGAAGAGGAGGAGGAGGAGGAGGAGGAGGAGGAGGAGGAGGAGGAGAAGGAGGAGAGGGAGGAGGAGCGGAGGCGGAGGGGGAGGAGAAGCATGAGGAAGAGGAGGAGGAGGAGGAGGAGGAGGAGGAGGAGGAGGAGGAGGAGGAGGGAGGAGGAGGAGGAACAGGAAGAGGAGGAGGAGGAAGAGCAGGAGGAGGGAGGAGGAGGAGGAGAGAGGAGGAGGAGGGGGAGGAGGAGGAGAAGGAGGAGGAGGAGAAGGAGGAGAAGCAGGAGAAGGAGGAGGAGAAGGAGGGGGAGGAGTAGGAGGAGGAGATGGAGGAGGACAGCACATCACGCAAGTCCATCAAATCGGGAGTCTCCTGGAAGAATCGTGTGGCTCGTGCTGGGTCCTTTACACCTTTGTTGGATCACCTTCCCTCTGTCCGCCTGTTAGCAACCGTGCTGCTACATGACATGCTGACGGAGGAGGAGGAGGAACACTAAAAAGACATAAATTGAAGCAAACATGGGGGACAGCAACGCGTCGCACGCTCCACGTGCCGGGATGCGCCGTGCAACGACGGCGGAATCGGGATCGCCAAGCGGTCGTGTCCTGCACCGTGAAGCCGGGCGCCGCACCCCAGCCAAGCATGTACGGCCTCGTCGTGTCGCCGAACGAGCCGACGTTCTGGCTGTAACTGAAGACGAACCACCTCGCTCGAGGATCACTCACATGACCCGGGCACAAAGATCATCGAGACGGTGCGCCCTTCAGAGAGCACTGACGGCAGGTGGAGAGGAAGCAGGGAGGGAGATGCAGGGCACTGGAGGGGAGGAGGAGGAGGAAGCAGGGTTCCTGATGTGGAAGCAAGTTCTGGACACTTTTGCTGATGCAGAGCCCTTCCTCTGCCGCTGTTGATATCCCCCTGGGAAACTAATCTCAAAGGTGAAGCGAAGAACAACACCAATAAGAAGTAGTGCCGCGGTGGGCGCCGATTGCGGCCACAAGACAGGCGGTCTTGAGATTGAAGTGGAACGATCACGGCGACAAGTCCCGGACACCCAGAGGTTCCCTTCAATTAGCTCTACATTCCGAGCCGCTGTTCTTTTCAGCGGTCCCGGGGGACCCCGAAGGGCCCCGAGAGGCCGGAGACGGGGCAAAACCTCAGGACCCCTCTTTTGTGCCCTCTTAGGACCCCTTTCGTTTACGACGACCTCCTCCCTCCTCCTGCCCCAGAGGCCTCCAGGGCATGATTGAGCAGGGACCGACCGTTCTGGCATTCCTATAGTCCTACCACGGAATGTTCTTGGAACCCACAAAAGCAATGCTCTGAGAAGATAAACCCGATGTGTTAAAACACGACAGTCTCGGCCAGAAATGTTCGAAGAACATTTCGCGGAAACCACAAAAGGTTCTTAGAACATTCTTTGGTAGGCCTACAGGCGAGCCATGACGCTTCGCCACTGCTTGACATGAAGCTCCTCGGAGGTCTCTGGAGGCCCCAATCGGGCTGGGGACCGAACCCTGGCCGTGAGCCTCTGGACCCCTCTTCCCTGGCTCGTGGCGGGTGGCGGGCTCGACCCCGGGGCGCCCCCGCGAGCGTCCAGCCGGCCGCCGCGACGGCTGCCCCAGCGACTCGCGGCGACGGCTACGAGAAGTACAATAGGGGCCCGGCCACAAGAAACCTTCCGCAGGAAACCCAACCCCGAGACCCCGGGACGTCCATGGATGTGGGGACACGTCACGCTTTTCATGGCAAAACCATCGACACCTAAGACTCCTCCTCCTCCTCCTGCTCCTGCTCCTGCTCCTGCTCCTCCTCCTCCTCCTCCCAGGGCACCCTGGAGGCAAGCAGGGTGCTTCTTGGCATGGGCCTCCGCTGCAGCGGCGGGCGACGCCGACGGGCCGCGGCGACGTGCGCCGCGGGCGCCTCTCCCCGTGCAGGGGAAGCGCGACGCGGCGGGCCGCGGGGCGCCTGGTGTCCGCCCGGGTAAACGCCGGCGAGAAGGCCTGCGAGCGGAGGGGGGGCTGGCGCGCACGCCGAAGGAGGAGGAGGAGGAGGAGGAGGAGAAGGAGGAGGAGGGGGAGGAGGAGGAGGAGGAGGAGGTGGAGGAGGAGGAGGAGGAGGAGGAGGAGGAGGAGGAGGAGGAGGAGGAGGAGGAGGAGGAGGGGAGGATGATGATGAGGAGGAGGAGGAGGAGGAGGAGGAGGAGGAGGAGGAGGAGGAGGAGGAGGAGGCGGAGGAGGGTTGATCTCGGGGCGGATGAGGAACGACCTCCAGGCGTCGTGAAACGAGTCACGACGGCCAGCCTTTCCTGTCCCTGGGCCTCTGGAGGCATTCTTTTTGCGGGTGGATGTAGCCTCGAAGGGATTTTAGTTTTGACCCCCCCCCTCCTTTCTCTTGGCGGTGAATGGGGCTGGTCCTAAAACCTCCCCGTCGCGGCGGAGACTAATTTTCCGTGAGAGCGCTCCTGGCGGGTGCTGCGGGGAAACGAATCACTAGTTCCTCTCTTGGTGGAACACCAATCTGCCCATAAGGCCGCCGAGCAATTCGTCGGCCCAACGGGCCAGAGGCGTGCTAAGATCTCCGGTAGCTGGTAAACAATCTTTCTAGTTCGCGCGCGCGGGGCGGGCCCTGGGGGTCCCCGGACGAAAAATACCCCGGCAGACTCCCGGCAAGTCCTGTTCAAGGATGCCGGAACTCTTTTTCGGAGCCCCAGAGGGCTCCAAATCGGTCCAAGAGGGCCCCAAGAGGTCCCCCAGACGGTCCAAGAGGCCCCCGAGACGCCCAAAGAGCGCTCCAAGACGCCGATGATGACACCAAGACGGCCCAAGAGGCCTCCAAGTGGCCTCCAAGAGGCCTCACAAGAGGGCCCGACAGGCCAGAGTCATAAATTTTACGATGATTTTGGAAGGATTTTGGCCTTGTCGCCTTTTCGGCCATCCGATGCTCCAAGACGGCCCAAGAGGCCCCCAAGAGCGCCCCAAGACGGGCCAAGAGGCTTCCAAGAGGGCCCCAAGAGGGCCCAAGAGGGCCCCGAGACGGCCCAAGAGGCGCCCAAGACGGCCCAAGACGGCCCCAAGACGGCCCCAAGAGGGGCCCAAGAGGGGGACCACGAACCGAAAACTCGAGCCTTCCGCCCCAGAGGGCCCCAGGAGGCCCCGAGAGGCCCCCAAGAGGCCCCAAGAGCCCCAAGATGCCGCCAAGAGGCCCCCAAGAGGCTCCAGGCGCCCCCGAACGGCTCCAAAAGACCCCAAGAGGCCTCCCAAAGAAGCATCTTGACGACGACCCTGTTTGGCCCCAAGAGCAACACAAGATGCCAACGAGAGGCTTCCTCCGCCCCTCCCCTTCCTCCTCCTCCTCCTCCTCCTCCTCCTCCTCCTCCTCCTCCTCCTCCTCCTCCTCCTCCTACTTATCTTCATCCTCCTCCTCTCCTTCTCATCCTCTCCTCCTCCTCCCCTCCCCTTCCCCATCCTCATCTTCCTCCTCCTCCTCGTCGGCGGCGCCACAATGGCCCCGGGCCCACGGCGAAGCAGTAGCGATCATGCAACATGGGCCGGCGGAATGAGCGAAGCGATTGAATAATACATTGCACCTTATTGGGGGGGGTCTAAAGACCCTTCGCGGTTAAGGCCGTCACTAAACGAAATAACTCAAATGGGTCAAAACTGGCCCTGGGGAGTGGTATCCGGGGCTCTGGGGGCCCACGCATGGCACTAGCGACGTCGGAGGTGTGTGTGTGTGTGTGCGTGTGTGCGTGTGTGTGTGTGTCTGTGTGTGTATGTGTGTCCAAGGGGCAAGGGGCAGCCCCTGTGTCCAAGGGGCTTAGTTCGAGCTGCCCGCGCGCAATAGAGGGAACGCGTGCAACGTCTGGGTATTGTGCTCCGTCCTGTGTCTTCGAGGGCCAGTAGGTGCCGGCAGGAGTCGCTCTCCTGTCGCCTCGGCCGGGTTGCCGCGCACGGCGGGGTGTAGCGACACCAGCGGCATTCCCGAGCCGGGGGCGCACGCTTCACGCTGCGAGTGGAGTATGCTGCGCTGCCCCGCCAGAACCCGCAGCAGAGCGCGCGGAACCTTCTACATCGCCGAGCTCGCGCGCACCATGGCGAAGTTTGAGTGCACCTTCGTCAACTACACCATCGAACCTAATAACTTAATTTTCCTCACAAAATGCCTAAGCAGCAAGAAGGTCTTATGATCTTGTCAGGTGTGTGTGTGTGTGTGTGTGTGTGGGGGGGGGGGGGGGGCGGGGGGGGAGGGGGGATGGGTCTTCGTCCAGATCCAGGTGGTTGCGCACGCAGGTCACCGCACGCAGCCGACTCCAGGGGTCTTCGGAGGTGCTTGGAGGTCCCTAGAAGTCCGTGGAGGCACCCAGGCCCAAAACGCTCAAAAACCTTGATCTGACACCCGCTCTCTAGGATCATCCTTTTCGTCCTCCTTCTCCCTCCCTCCACTAGGGGGGAAGTAGATCCTCCCGCTTCTCCTCGCTCTGCTCCTGCTCCTTCGCGACTCCTCCCCCGCCGCTCATGCTCTATCTGCCGCTGCTGCTGCTTTCTCTTCGCCCCTTCCTCCTGCGGGTGGCGGTGGTGGCAGCAAGAGAAAGCGAGAGAGAGAGAGAGAGAACGAGAGACAGAAAGAGAGAAAGAGAGAGAGAGAGAGAGAAACAACACAACGAGAAAGAGGTAGAAAGCGATGAGGGGGAGAGGATGAGGGCGTGAAGGAGGAGGAGGGCGGGAAGGAGGAGGAGGAGGGAGGCTGAAGGAGCAGCAGGACGAGGGGGTAGGGGGAGACAGGCACTGAGGAGAATAGGGTAGAATGAAATGGGGGAGAAGGAGGGACCCATAGGAAAGCTTCCGCTAGCTTCCGCTGGCCTTCGCTGGCGGAAGCGGCCTCGTTTTACTTCCGCCGACCTTCCGCCGCTCTTCCGCCACCTTCCGCCGAGGAAGACATGACAATTCCCTCGGTCCTCGAAAGCAAAGCCCTTTTTGGAACGCCTTGTGTGGATGTTCAAACGGAAGATAGATGCTGCTGTTGCGGACTGTCAGAAAACAATTCAGCAAACTGCCCTGTAATGAACGTTGCAAGGGGCGCCGATTAGCGAAGCCGACACGGGAGTGCACTGGTACATTGCGAATGCCAGTATGGAATGAACAAACGCAGACTTCCTCAATCAACTTGTCTGGGCGGGCGTTCTTTCAACGCCCGATGCAATATGACGCAGCGTGGACAAAAGTCGGTCGAGTGCCAGCACGCCATGACAATCCTGAATCGAACTGCACTTGGGATGGACGCAGCCGAGTGCTGCAAGATGAATGGTGGACTTACGAGCTTAAGCAAAAGTGGTCCCGCGAACGAGCGAGAGCACGCAGCAACACAAGCAGGGCCGAGAGACGAGCGAGTTGCCATAGTGCTCAAGCCACCCCCAGGAAACCAAACAACTCATCGAGCTGACGCGCACATGGCCATGATGATGTGAAAGTTTGTGATGGCACGTCCTGGGAGTCCCAATCCCCAAATCCAAAGGGTTCTCCAGCATCGGGGTCTCACCTGTGCAAACGCGACGCGCCCTAACACGATACAGCATGCAGCCTGCAGAATGCCAGTTCGAGCTGTCTCGTAGGGCCGCCACGCTGGCGCTGCAGGAGGCGGAGGCGTGCTGGGTGACAGGCAAACTCTTCGCCACAGCTGAGGCCAGACGACTCGGATGTGGCTGCGCAGCCGCGGTCCACGGCGAAGTGTCTGCGCCGCGGCCGCTGAGTTCAACATGCTCCTTTGCCAAACAGCTCCAGGGGCCCGACGAACAGCGGCAGACTTGTGAGACGCTTGCCCTCAAAGGTGTCCAAACTGCGACACGTGAGCCATGCCGTCTTCGCCGCGGCACACCTCGCCGGCAGACATCTGTACGAAGCCAGTGTCCCCCAGCCGTATGTATTAGCTCGATTTTGGCAGGGACAAGCTGCAACAGATACCTAAGGGGATTTCCCAAGATCCAATCACATGTACCATGTGACCATGTGACGCTTCACATCGTTGATGGCACGGATGCTTGAGCGAGAAAGTACAAGCTCTCTTCAAAGATAGCGGCTGCTCTCGCGATCTGATCTTGAAGGCACGCTCTCGAGCAATGGTAGAGAAAGCGTTGCCAGAATTGCAAGAACACTTTTCTGTTCGTTGATATCGGGAAGGAGGTGGCGCGAAGGCGCATCAGGGAAGCGTTCTGGGAGGCGATTTTCGGGCTGCGCATGGATGCGTACGCGATTCGTGGCCAGCAGTCAACCACTGAGGCAAGGGAGCAGTATAATAGCCCAGGCGACACGAGAAACCTGGGCAGGTGGAAGGGTCATGCGGAGCTGAACCAAGCCTTTCGAGCTTGAGCACAAGTGGCAACGCGAGCGACTGAGAGCTCGCAGAAAACAAAACAGTGGCCGAGGCCGAGACGAGAGACGGAGGAGCTACATCATCCCAGGCCCACAATAACCTCACTATGCCTGTGCGCGCTTGCAGCAGGGGGACGAGGAGGGAGTGAGGGGGAAAGGGAGGGAGCAGAAACTGCGGAGGGAAGAGAGATAAGGGATGAAGAGAGAAGACGTGTAAATGAAGGGTCTGCGAAACGGGTCTGCCTGATGCTCCTCCCTCGCAACATCCTCGTCCTCCATCTCCTGCTCCTTCTGTCTCTCTTCCCCCTGTCCCTCCTGCTGATTCTGTGGGGCTCGGCGAAAACAAGACCATCGTGGCTCTGGGGACAAGGCTCCGGCAAGAACGGGCGCCAACGGAGTGAAGCGAAGTTCCCCGTGAGAGGGCGGATGAGGAGGAGACTCCGAATGAGGAGGAGGAGGAGGAGGAGGAGGAGGAGGAGGAGGAGGAGGAGGAGGGGGAGGAGGGGAAGGAGGAGGAGGAGGAGGAGGAGGAGGAGGAGGAGGAAGCAGAAGGACGATGAGGAGGAAGGGCGAGGCGGAGAAGGAGGACCAGCAGCATGAACATTGTTGAGGAGGAGAAGAAGGAGAAGGGGGAGAATGTGATGAGGAGGAGGAAGCGAAGCGATAAGAAGGGGGAAGATGAGAAGGGGGAGGAAGAGGAGGACGAGGAGGGCAGGGAGGGATGAGAGGGGGAAAGGAACGCATAATTTGAGGAAGGGTGCGAGAGAGAGGAAAGTGATAATAAGGATGAAAGAGGAGGAGGAGGAGGAGGAGGAGGATGAGGAGGAGGAGGAGGAGGAGGAGGAGGAGGCGGACAACGACTTAAGGAAGACAAGTAGCGAGGGCAGCAAACAATGGTGAGAGAGGGCAAAGGGGAGAGGAGAGGGACGTGGAGGAGGGCGCCGCTAAGGGAGACTCAGATGATGCCGATGCGATTCGCCACGTCGAGCGCGTCGTAGTCCTGGGTCAAGTGCACGTACGCCTTCTTCCTGCCGTCGGGCCGGATGAGGGTGTTCACCTTGGCGCACTGCACGTCGTACATCTCCTTCACGGCCTGCTTGATCTTGCACTTTGTCGCCTGGATGTCCACCAAGAAGACGAGGGTGTTGATCTCCTCGATCTTCTTCATGGCCGACTCGGTCGTCACCGGGCACTGGATGATCCGGTACTTGTCCATCTTGTCCCGCTGCGCCACGGACTTCCTGGCATACTTCGGATCCCTCTTCTTGATCAGAGTCTTCGGCCGGAAGAAGTGCACGTTCGTGCGGACCTTCTTCTGCTTGCGCGCCACGGTCTTCTTCACAGCCTTGGCCACCTTGGACGCCTTCTTGGAGCCCTTGCTGCCGCCCTCGGCGGGAGGAGCCTCGGCGGCCTTCTTGCCCATCGCTGCGGGTGGCCAGGCTGGCGGGCGCGCCGGCAACGTGGGGAGCCCTGTGGAACCTGAGCCAACATGGACACGGAACAGAAGTGGGGGGAGGGGAGGGGCAGGATGACGACGACGAGCATGAGCGGAACAGTGAGGAGCAGGGGGAGTAGTAGCAGGAGGGCGAGATAACAGGGAGGACAACAGGGACAGGAGGGAGGAGGAGAATGGGGGGAGGGAAGGTGGAGGCCGAGAAGACCCGGGCCTTTAGCTGGAACGTCGCGCCGAGGCCCAAGATGTCACCCTCCGTGGAGTCCATCGGCACCTGCTCGCTACGGGTTGCCAACTCCGAAAACATAAAAACGATATGTTATCTTAATATTTTCGGGGAGTGTGTTTACCTCCGCCAGCGAGACAATGATGATGGAGAGTATGGTGATGATGGGGAGGATCAGGGTGGCAGTGCGGACAGGCGGGGAACATGTTGAACATTTGTATTCCAGATCCTCGTCGTGAAAGTCCCCCTTCTCCTTACCTTCCTCATCATCCTCTTCCTTTTCGTCCTCCTCTCGAAGAGGGCGAGCACATTCAAGACCATTCATCATGGAATGCTGGATGCGTGAGTGGGTATTTGCATACATATCTATAAGTGAATACAGAAGTAAGCATGTAAGCCAGCGTGTACCCCAAACACTATGTTTCTAGCATTTTGTTGTTGTGCAACCTATGTGGAACAATGTATGTGGTGCAATAGATGCTGTACGATGTTGTGTAGTAAACGTAGGGCAACCTATGAGGGGCGATATGTGTGGTGCAATCTAGGTGAAGCGATCAATGTGGTGCAATTCGTGTTGTGCAGATCCATGTTATGCAATCTATGTTGAGCAGTCTATGTGGTGCCACTCGTGCTGTGCAACCTATGTGGAGCAATCTACTTTGGTGCAATCCAGGCTGTGCACTTTATATTGCGCACTATAGGTGGTGTGCGATCTGCGGGATACAGCATACGTTGTGGACTCTGTGTGAAGCAATATGCGTGGTGCAACTTAGGCGGCGTAATCTAGCTTGCAATACATGGTGTGCAATAGTTGATGTGCAATCTATGTGGTGCGATTTGTATGGTGGGCAATATATGCGGTGCAATCTCTATTCTGCAATCGGCACGGCGACCGACAGACAGGCCCCGACGATGGGCGGAGACGAGGTGGCGACAGGGCGGCGACGGCCGCAACATAGCCGCCAGACCGACAGACAGGCCCAGTTCCTTAGAAACAAATAGGACCCCCGACGTGCACGTACTGTGTGTGCGAACTGTCGGAATATGTATAAGTATATTAGGGCGTACGAGATACGGATTGATTAATGTGTACATGTATGTTTATGTTTGTACACATCTTCGGGTATTGCGGCGCATTCAACACTGGGTGGAGCGAGAGGGAGCGAGAGAGAGAGAGAGAGAAACAAAGAGAGAGAGAGAGAGAGACAGAGACCGAGAAAGGCACAAAGCGGTAGAGAGTGATACACGTATATACATGTCTATTGTATTCTGTTCGATTATACCATATTGTCAGGCATTGCGTTGTACTGTGTTGTATCATATAATTGTACGTTGTTTACTGGTATAGTCACCTGTAATGTAATTTTATAGTATATGACCTAGAGTACAGTATGTTGTCGCTATACTTTTATACTATTATATATTAACATATCTCACATGTTATAACAGTATAATGCTTCGCATCATACAGGCCACGTTCTAGCTATTACCGTAGTTTCTGATGTATCTCGTGATATCATGATATGGTATATGGTTTTTAAGTACGCGACATCACAACATCATATATTACATTTAATCATAGTTTTTCATAGCACAATCTACAATGTTATATGGTCAAATATACTACATAATATAAGCTGTTCTGTTATATACAAGGCTATTGTACTATATCCTGGCATAGATGAACCAACATGTACCATTTCTTTATCCAGAATTACATGTAACGAGAAAGCGAGATACAGAGAGAGGAAGATAGGAAGGGCGAGAGACAGAGAGAGAGAGAGAGAAAGAGAGAGAGAGAGAGAGAGAGCCAACGAGAGGCAGAGATGACGTCCGACATTGTACGGTGTGGGCCACAGTCGCACGCGAAGGCAAACATACTGATGTGTCATACTCTTTCTTGCACTCGGTCCCCAAGACAAGGATGATACAATTGACCGCTGGGAGTGCGCCGAAACACATCCGCCACCGTGCCGCCGGGCATGGAGTGGGCGTGTCTTCAGGTCGTCTCACTACACCTCTAAGCCTCAGTCCTCACTCCTGAAGAATTATTGCACAGGGTTCGGAGCTCCTCGGCCCAAATCTCTTTGGGCGTGGCGCGTGACCCCTGAGCTCTCCCGAGTGTCATCGCGCGAATCTTTGGGCCAAAGAAGGTCCCAAGACGGGCCATGAGGGCCCCACGAAGCCCCCTGGACGGTCCAAGAGGTCCCCGAGTCGCCGAACGATCGCTCCAAGACGCTCAAGATTGTCCCCAGATGGCCCAAGAGGCTCCAAGTCGCCCAAAGAGGCCTCCAAGAGGCCCCCCAAAGAGGGCCCCGAGAGGCCAACATCTTGTATTTTCTTTAAGTTTTTGTTGGATTTTGGCGTTCTCGCCTTTTAGCTTCCCGACGCTCCCAGACGGCCCTAGAGGCCCCCAAGACCGCCCCAAGACGGCCCAAGAGGCCCCTCCAAGAGGGCCCCAGGAAGGGCCCAAGAGGGCCCAAGACAACCCAAGAGGCGCCCAAAACGGCCCGAGAGGGCCCCAAGACGGCACCGAAAGGGGCCCCGAAGAGGGAACACGAACCGAACATCCGAGCCTTCCGCCCCAAGAGGCCCCCAGGCGCACAGGAGGCCCCAAGAAGCTCCCAAGAGGCCCCGGCCCCACGGGGCCCCGAAGAGACCCAAGGAGGAGGAGGAGGAGGAGGAGGAGGAGGAAGGAGGGAGGAGGATGGAGGATGGAGGATGGAGGAGGGAAGGAGGGAGGGGAGGAGAAAGAGGCTCCAAGAGGTCCCCGAACTGCCCCCAAGAGGCTCCAAACTGCCTCCAGGAGGCCCCCGAGAAGCCCCCTAAGAGATTCCAGCGAACATCAAATAGGCTTCATGCCCACAACCCGAGCACTGTGGCGGGATGGGGACCGCGCTGCTGGCGCCATCCGCCGCGCTCGGGCGGCCCAGAATGGCCGGTCGCGGCCCTCTGGTGGTGAGTTCCGCCAGGCGCTCAGCCTCTTGCCCTGCACCGCGGGCCCCGCACCGCCCCCGCACAGCCGTGGATGCCCCGAGCCCGTGCCTCGCGGCACTGCGCCGCGCCCTGGATTGGGCCCACGTCGCCTGGTGCCAGCGCCTGCAGTGCTCCCGCTGTGGGCTTCTTGAGCGAGGCTGGAGGAGGAGGAGGGGGAGGAGGAGGAGGAGGAGGAGGAGGAGGAGGAGGAGGAGGAGGAGGAGGAGGAGCAGGAGCAAGAGGAGGCGAGGAGGAGGAGGCGGAGGAGGGCAGGAGGAGGAGGAGGAGGAGAAGGAGGAGGAGGAGGAGGAGGAGAAAGGAGGAGGAGGAGGAGAAGGAGAAGGAGGAGGGGGGAGGAGGAGGATGAGGAGGCGGAGGAGGAGGATGAGCGGAGGAGGAGAAGGAGGAGTAGGAGGAGGAGAAGGAGGAGGAGGAGGAGAAGGAGGAGGAGGAGCAGAGGAGGAGGAGAAGGAGGAGGAGGAGGAGCCTTGAATAAGGAACGAAGAGGCTCTTCTGGCCACATCGAATCTCGGCTTCGAACAGGAGCCCCTGGCCTCGATTTGAGCCACCGTGCCTTCCAGTTCGGCTGGGCCCCATGGTCCGCACCTCCGCGGGGTCAGTCGGATCACCCACTGGCCCACTGTGCCCACTGGATCATCCAGTGGCCATCCCGCCTCTTCCTCCTTCTCCTCCTCTTCCTCCTCCTCCTCCTCCTCCTCCGCCTCCTCCTCCTCGTCCTTCTCCTCTGTGGAAGCGCTGATCAACAAGGAGTCGGATCGGATCGCCAGGCTACGATCGGCTGAACGTTCAGCTGGCCAAGTATTGATCAGGTCGGTCACTGTTTGGTGTCGCCCCGCTCATTTTGACTCCCGCGTCGAGTTCTCCCTCCCACTCCTCTTCAGGAGGATGAGGCAAACACTCCCCATATTATAGGCGGGCCGTGGACACCATGGTAGTACGTACTTGTTGAGCCCAAGTGGTGGCCCTGCTGCGACAAGAAAGTGTCTTCTGACTTTCGGGCACCGATGCAAAAAGGCGTGGTTCTAGCACCGAGAGCACGATAGAAGTTGTGAGTGCGGCCGAGGGTCCCACGTGTACTGTCGACCATCCTGTAAATGGCCAAGACACCGGTTGTGCATTCATATGCGAAAAAGACGGCGCAACTTCATCACAATCTGATATCGGGACATTGAAACCATCCACAACAAGATGCGAGGCCCTCGATGCGAATGTCATAGAAATGGCTGGTCAGAGGCGCGCCCATTCGATATTTTGTTTGGGTGCGTGGGTGGGAGGGGGCTGGGAAGCGGGGCGCACTCGACACCCGACCACAGCAGCGGGTATCAGATCCACGGCCGCCACCGTCCGCAAGTGCCCCGCTTTTTTTTGCTTGGGGGGGGGGGGGGGCGAGGGCGGGGCGGTGCAGGGGGGTACCCGACCACGAAGACTCAATCAAACACTGGAACCCATGCGGACTCCCACGGCGAATCTTACGGGCGAAGGCACACATTGCCTTGCTATGCGGAGCTTTTCGCGTGGATCGACCCCCCCCTCCGCTGCCCCAGAGTGGTCGATGTCCTCGAAGAGCCTGCGGGAGAGCCGAAGGGGACCCTCCAAGGACCTCCGAGCCTCGTCCGGAACAACACAATTCGTTTGATTTCAATGTGCCGAACGTGGCCCCTCCTGTCGCCCGAACTCCCAGACCGCTGGGATTGAACTCCGCATCCTCGCCAGCAGCGGCGTGTGGCCTGGCTGGGCTGGCTGCCTGCGGTAGGCAGTCCTGCAGCTGCCGAGCACGCAGCAAGTCAGGGTTTCGGTGAACGGAAGCGAGCATCCTGTCATGTTTCCTCGAACAAGCCCTCTCATCCTCCTCCTGCTCCCGTTCCTCCTGATTGTGCTCCTCCTCTCTATCCTCATCTTCACCCCCGTCTGCTCACATGCGTCAGGACGTCACTCCCAGGGCGTCTTTCGGCGCAGTCCTTCTCATCCTCCCTCCTCCATCGCCTTCCTCCCCTTCTTCTCCTCCCTGCCCTCCTCCCTCCTCTCCTCCCTCCCCCTCCTCATCCTACCTTGCTGCTGCTGCTGCTCCACCTCCCCCTCCTTCTCCTCCTCCTCCTCCTTGTCCCACCGTGCTCGCTCCTCGCCCCCCTCCTCTTCCATTCCCCTTCCCTTCTGGCACTCGTCCTCCTATTCCTTCTGCTCGTCGTCGTGCTCCTCCTGCGTGTGCTCCTCCCTTTCCTCCTCTTCTTCTTCCTCCTCTTCTTCTTCCTCTTCCTCCTCCTCCTCCTCCTCCTCTTCCTCCTCCTCCTCCTCCTCCTCCTCCTCCTCCTCCTCCTCCTCCTCCTCCTCCTCCTCCTCCTCCTCCTCCTCCTCCTCCCCCCCTCCTCGCCCTCTCCCTGTGCTGTACTGTACTGTACTCTGCGGAAGCAGGTGTCGACGACACCTACCCCAAACAACAACACACGATTCATGATGCCCCGCAGCTTTTGGCTTCCTGCTTTGCCCAATCGGGCAGCTCCAGGACACGACTCTTGAAAGAAGCTGGGCAACGCCCCACCTCCTGTTATCCTCGCCCTCCTCCTCCTCCTCCTCCTGCTCACCCCCTCCTCCTCCTCCTCCTGTTCTGTTCGAGTTCCCGATCAGGAAGATACCGCGGTGTACGCACGCATGCAACGACAGAAACAAAACTATGAACGCGCCTGGCACTGGGGCATCCCGTCCCGATCCTGCGCAAACTCTCCGAAAGGTATCTCGAGAAGTACGGTCCCCCGTGCTGCGCACGGACCTCACGACATAACGTCGTGGCGACCACACATGCGCGTGCACGCGAACTCGATGGGGGGAGGGAAGAGAGGACGGCAAGCAGGGCCAGGAGGAGCGCATCTTCCTCCTTCCCCTCCTCGTCCTCCTCATTCTTCTCCTCCTCCTCCTCCTCCTCCTCCTCCTCCTCCTCCTCCTCCTCCTCCTCCTCCTCCTCCTCCTCCTCTCCTCCTCCTCCCTCCCCCTCCCCCTCCTCCTTCCTCCTCCTCCTCCCCCTCCTCCCTCCTCCTCCTAATCCTCCTCCTCCTCCTCCCTCCTTCCCTCCTCCTCCTCCTCCTCCTCCTCCTCCCCGTCCTCCTCCTCCTTCCCTCCTCCTCCTCCTCCCTCCTCCTCCTCCTCCTCCTCCTCCTCCTCCTCCTCCTCCTCCTCCTCCTCACCCTCCTCCTCCTCCCCCCTCCTCCTCCTCCTCCTCCTCCCCCTCCCTCCTCCTCTCCTCCCTCCTCCTCCTCCTCCTCCTCCTCCTCCTCCTCCTCCTCCTCCTCCTCCTCCTCCTCCCCCTCCTCCTCGTTCCCCTCCCGCTCCACCGCCCCGCCCCCATCAGGCGGCACCTCGGGCCGGCGCCTCCACCGCGCACCCCCAAAACGCTCACAGCTCGGGCGCCCCCCGCGCCGAAGATGCGGTGCCGCCCGCGGCGGGCAAGAAGCGCGCGCACGCTGTCGGCGCACGCCGCGCTGCCCCCGCGAGAGGCGGCGCCTTCACGATGTAGCGCTCCGAATCGCCCGCCTCGGGTGTTGCTTAAGGGGGGGAGGGGAAGAAACGTGCACCTCCGTTCGTGGCCTGTTTTTGGGCCTCAGAGGGGCCCCTTTCGGGCACGAGAGGTGCACGTTACCCCCCCCAAACCACCCCCATGAGGGGCGGTAACTGCTTTGGGGGCCGGGCCTCAGAGGGGCCTCTTTGGGGCACGAGAGGTGCAAGTTTCCCCCCCCCACCCCGCCCCTTCCATTGATTGCCCCCCCCCTCACCCCCCACATCACGCAACGCCAACCGCCTGCCAGTTCAGCGACTCCGGCGCCCAGCCCAGGGGCAGCAGGACCAGCATGGTCACCGGCTCCTGCCGTGGCGCCGCCGCTTTGCGCGTCCCATCTCCTCGCCGCTCCTCTGCGAGACCCCTCGCTCCGCCACTGCTCTTCCCTCGCTCCCTCCATCCTCGCTCCTCGCTCCTCCTGCCTCCTCCCTCTCCCCCTCCTTCCTCCTCGCCCCATGTATGTCTATATATACACAGATGTAGACATGCATACATCCATACATCCATACATACGTATATACATAAATACATGCGTACATACATACAAACATAAGTGCATGCGTACATACATACATACATACATACATACATACATACAACCAGCCATTACAGACATGTGTACACATATAAGTACACAAGTTCATACACACATACATACTTACACACGCACGTCTATACATAACACACATGCGCACTTATATGCACAAATACATCAATACATACATGCATACGTACATACATGCATGCATACATGCACACACCTACTTACATACATGCATGCATACATCAATACATCCATGCATCCCTACTCACTTCCATACTTACGTACATACACACATCCGTACGGACACACAGACCGACCTATCTATCTACCAACCTACATGCGTACATTCAAACAGCCATACATGCATTCATACACACACATACATACATACATACATACATACATACATACATACATACATACATACATAGACACATACATATACACATGCATACATACACGCGTATCTACATGCACACATACATACTTATATACATATACACACATGCGCACCGACACCACTACATCCATACACACGTGCACACATATACACATACACACGCATACAGACACATACACACAGATACACATACGCGCATGCTTGCATACACAGATAAATACTTACACACATACGCATACCAACACACACATACATACACACACGTACACATACACACATACATGCAATCATGTACACATACATGCACATGCATACACATGATTACACATATACACACGCGTGTTTACACGCATACACACAACCATGTATACTTACATACATTCAGCCGTACATACGTATGTACGTACACACAAACATACACATACACACATATGCATCCATACCTACATACATACATACATGCACACATACATACATACATACATACATACATACATACATACATACACACACATGCATGCATGCATGCATGCATACGTATGTACATGCATATATACATGTTTACACACATACATGCACATCCATGTCTTCCTCTATATACATGTGCATGCGTCCACACTTTCGCATGCATATATATATATATATATAGATGAATATACATGCAGGGGCTGCCCCCAAAACTGTCAAAGTCGTGCACCTTGCTTCCGTGTTTCGTCGATCCAATGCGCCTCTTCGCGCGCGTGCTGGAGGGTGGGGGGGGGAGGAGGAGTGAGTAGGAGTGGGGAGGCGTAAAAGCTGGAATTGAAAAGGAAGAGGGGCAGGAGGAGGAGGAGGAGGGCGAAGTCAGACAAGGAGGGGGAGGTGGAGAAGCAGCGGCAGCAGCCCCGACCATGGCAGCAGGCCGTTGGATCTGAAGGCCTGGGGGTGCCCTTCAAAGTCGCCCTCCTTACTTGCCCTGCCTTCGAAGCGAGTCGAAGGATTTCGAGGCGAGTCAAGCCATAGCGACGAGTGGGCCTCGAGAGGCCCCATCAAAGGCTCCGCGGCTAGCTCTCCCTCCTCATCCTCCTGCTCCTCCTCTTGCTTCTCCACCTCTATTCCTTCCCCCTCCTCCTCCCTCTTCGCGTCTACTTCCACCACTTCATTTCTTGCCCCCCGTCTCCGCCTCCGCCTATCTTTCCTCCGTTTCGTTTCCCCCCCCCTTTTCCCTCATCCTCCTCCGCCTCCTCTTCCTCCTCCCCTCCTCCTCCCCTCCTCCTCCTCCACCTTCTCCTCGTCCTCCATCCTCCTCCCTCCCCCTCCTCCTCCCCCTCCTCCTCCCCCTCCTCCTCCTCCTCCTCCTCCTCCTCCTCCTCCTCCTCCTCCTCCATCTCTCCCCCTTCGAAACAACTCCTTCCTGTCGTACCCCCAATCGTGTCGGTAGGGCGGGCCGGGCGTTTCGCGTACGA